AATGATGTAGTATTCTCCGAAGACCCTATTTTATGCTGCCAATTCTCATGGAATAAATTATATGGCTATTCCGCCTGTGATTTTTGCCTTCGTCCCTTAGAGAGTGCTGAAGAGAATTCTAGAAGGCTTACTAATAAATCTACATTGGTGTTACCGGTACTTTCTTCGTTAAATTCCGAGTTTTCAAAACGTACATTAGCTGTTGCTACTTGTCCAGAATGTGGATTGATATTTTGTTCTCCCGAGTGCTTATCTCTGGCAATGCGACTTTATCATTCAATTATGTGCATGAAGAGTAATTTAAATAGTGATCTTGAACCTCTTAACAAGCTGGAACTCGTTTGGAGGCAGACTCATTTCCCTCCAGAAACGAATACAGTTATGCTACTTTTGCGGATCGTTGCGATGAATTTGATTTCGTACTTTAAAAAGGACACACTTGCGGCAGAAAGAGTCTCTGCTTTATCTAATTTTGTTTGCGGATGCGTTTCCGAAATTCACTCCGATGTTTTACCGACACCTGCTTTAGTCCATAAAATGTTAGGAGAAAAGTTCTACAATCAATTAGAAATGATTCATCAGGCCTTTATTGAGGCTATTAGTTTTCTCCTCTCTCAAGTTGTGTCAGATATGCAAATAGATTCTGCAATGTGCGAAATTGGTCTAGGTTCTATCCTTACTCGTGATGGTTTCTGCACTGCCTTGAGCCTGCTTGGAAGAAATGGGCAAGGAGTAGCCACTAGTCCACTCAGCCAGTGGGTGAAAATGGTCGAAGAACAATCTAAACTGCATATTGAGGCAAATGTTTCCTGTGCGACCAATGCTTCCCATATTCATTCATTTATTGATAAGCTCTACAGTGACATCGACGACCACGTTGGTCCTTTTTTGGACAGCGAGGGTGTGGCACTTTATCAATACCAAAGTAGGATGCTTTTTATTGTCATAAGTCAATTATTCTGCTTTTATTATAGCGAAGAATATAAAAATATTGTATATATATGCATATTTATTTC